TGTCCTCCCTAGTCATTGTCCAGCTCTCTGATGCATAACAAGTGATTACAAAGACCATGGCCTCCATCAGGCGCACCTTCGTCTCCAAAGAGACACTGTTGCTCTTGATTACTTTAGAGAGGTCCCTAACATTTAGAAGATTAAAAATTCTGTAAACCCTAATTGTGTGAATGCTGAACCTGCACACAGACCAAGAAGGGGCCATTTCAACAGAACAAGAGCATATTGAATGGTTCAGAATCAGGGAAGGTGTGGTCAGGGCGATATCCTGTCACTAAGTCTATTCCATTTGTATGCGAAATAATCTCTGGTGCTGGAGCACACAAAGGAGAATGTGGCATTAAGATTGCAGGACAGCGCGTTAACATCTTGTGATAAGCAGAAAACACAACTGTGCATTCCAAAAGTGAAGACTCAGAGAACTTACTGAAGAAAAAAATCCACAAAGTTAGAGCAAAGAACAGTGTCTTGGTAAATAGAAAAAAAAAAAAGACTGAGGGTGTCAAGAATTTCATTTTACTTGGATCCACAATCAACATACAAGGAGGTGGTAGTCAAGAAATCCAATGACTTACTACGTCAGACATATCTACAAGAAGGATCTCTTTACAGAGTTCAACATAAAGGCATTTCGGTAAACACCTCCTGGACAAGGCACTGTTCTGGACACATGTTTCCTGTTATGCACAAGTGTAGTTTGAACCATTACCTGACTCATAGTACATGCTTAATGCGAGTCCAAATTCTGACTCTTCTATGCAACCACTTTGTATCCTTGGGCGAGTCACTTCTCTTAGCTGCAATTTTCTCCTCCCTAATACAGGTGGGTAAGTGGTAAGGAATTGCACTTCCAATGGAAAGATACATGGTTCAAACCCACCAGTTGCTCCATGGGAGAAAGATGGGCAATCTCCTCCCTTGTGATTTACTGTTTCTGAAAACCCATTGAAGGGTCAGTTATGAGTCAGTTCTGATTCCATGGTCTTCAGAAAGAGCAGTCCCTACTTATATGATTGTACAGTGGAGAAAAGGTTAATGATTTAAGTATGTAAACCATAAAGAACAGGTGTGCTATACCTTCACAGGTAGAGTTCCGGGACATGAAGCCAGTCTTGCACTGACAGCTGTAGCTCCGTACGGAGTTGACACAGTGAGAGTTGACTGGGCAGGCATTGCCGTTGAGGCACTCATCAATGTCTCAGGAGCAGAGGGGGGTGATGAGGCAGACAGGTGACCAGGTGCCCAAGGTCACAAACATATATATCCAACTGATGGAAGATGTCCCCCCTCCAAGATCCCAAATCAGCAAGTGTTACCTGTACAGGTGAAGTTGTCAGACTTGTCTGAGATTGAGGTAATTTCATTGTGAGAAGAAAACCCAGGCAAGCAGCTGCACTCATAGCTCCCTTGAAAGTTTGTACAGATTGAGTTGGGACCACAGATGGTGGGTGTCACAGAACATTCATCGACATCTAAGCAGAGAAAGCATCAGGTCATTTGTGAAGCAGTGACGAGGTGCCCAAGGTCACAAACATATATATCCAACCAGTGGAAGATGTCCCCCCCTCCCCAGACCCCAGATAAGTAAGTGTTACCTCTACAGGTGAAGTTGTCAGACTTGTCTGAGATTGAGGTAATTTCATTGTGAGAAGAGAACCCAGGCAGGCAGCTGCACTCATATCTCCCTTGAAAGTTTGTACAGACTGAGTTGGGACCACAGACGGTGGGTGTCACAGAACATTCATCAATATCTAGGCAGAGAAAGCATCAGGTCATTGGTGAAGCAAAGTGCATTTTCCAAAGATGGGTACAATGGGCCTTCATATGCGAGCATTCCAGGATCTCTCCCAGCAAGGAAAGGGGCTGCCCTCGCTCCCACTGAACCTGACATGTGACTGTGGTAGGAACGAGACTATACAAACCAAGTCCATTGCCACTAAGTAGCCTCCAAACTCATGGTGACCCCATGTGTGTCAGAATAGAACTGTGCTCTACACAGTTTTCAATGGCTGGGTTTTTTTGGAAGTCAAGAGCAAAGGCTCTTTCTTCTGAGATACTAATGGCAGTCTCGAACCACCAACCTGCCTCCTATTCTACTCCTTTCACATCTCAAAGCTTACTGCTATACCACATCCTATACTGAGATGGCCTTATGAACATAAGAAGACTATCTTGCTCTCAGGTAAGAGTCTGTCCACTGATAGATGGTTTCAGATTCTAACACAAACTTGGTGGAGGGAGGGCCGCATAATCCAATCCAAAATGTATTTCTTATTGCTTCAGGATGAACAAGCCCCATGGTTGCCTGATGAAGAATTAAAGACGTGTAGAACAGACTAATCACCTTGGATGAGCCCTGGGTAAGGGTAGATACCCCCACCTAGATCAGCAAAGCCAACCTGAAGTTGACTGACCACACACATCAGTAAGCCCAGGTGAGGCCGAACTGCCCATTAAGGCCCAAGCAGTGTCAGCCCTTGAACTCTAAGTGAAACAATTATTTGCTGTTACAGCATCAACATTTTAGAGTGATATGCTCCTCAGAAACAGCAATCAGAAACAGCTGATTAGAAAAGCAGAGATGATGCTATAGATTACATTATCAATCCTCGCAGTGTGAATCGACCAGGAGCTCCCTGGGAGAAGGACGGACAATGTCTCTTACGCACTTACTGCCTCTGAAACTTGCTGGAGGCTCAGCTAGCAGTCAGTTCCAACTCAATGGCACACAGCACACAGCAACAACAAAACCCACACTCAGCTGTGTGTAAATGCTAACCTCACGCCTGTGGGTTTTCTTTGCAATGGTAGTAAGTCTACATCAATGTAGGGTGTGTTTTACATCCATCCCTGTGATGTCTATAAACAGATTAGGCACAGAAGCAAGGAGGCACAGATGTGAAAAGACCTAGATCTCCCCAGAGAGTTGTCCAAGGAATTAAGAGAGAGGGGCTGGAAAACACAGGGACTTTCCCCAGATTCTAACTGCTAAGCCTTCTCTTACACTCAATGTCCTTAGTATGACCCTAGCATCCTGGGTTGTGAGAAAATATGGACAAGCACTTATTTATATAGTAAAGAGCAGAATGTAAGTTTAAGTTCTACTTGGCCCAAGCCATGATATTTACTATTGTTTCATACAGGTGTCAATGTGGGATGACAACTAAGAAAGACTAAAGAATTGTGCTGTTGGAGGATATTGAATATGCCATGGGCTACCCCAAAACCAAAAATAAATCTGTTGTCAAAAATGAGCAGATAAGGGGAGCTCTGGTGGCCTAGTGGCAAGAAGCTGCACTGCAATCCCATAGGTACACAGTTCAAATCCACCAGATGCTCTGCTGGAGAAGGAGGAGCAATATCCTCCTGTACCAGTCAGATCCGATTTGACGGTACACGCACACAAAATAATAAAAATTTTAAAAAATTTAAAAAAATAAAAGAGCAGATAAAATGATTCTTAGAAGTTAGAATGGTGAAACATCAGCTCACGTATTGTGGGGATATTATCAGAATGGTTGATTTCCTGTGAAGTGAAAAAAACAGGAAATCCTCAAGGAGATGGACTGACAGATGGATGTCAACAATGAGATAAAGAGTAGCAGAGACTGTGCTAATGGTGGAGGAAGCCACAGGCTTTCATTCTGTTGAATGTAGGGTCACTATGAGTTGAAAGCAGGAGTGGCATCCACTTCCTAAAAACATGACTCCGGAAACTCCATGAACGTTGATAAATGTCGATAGTTATAGAAAGGCATCAGGCCTCTTGTTCATTTGAAGGCAATCAACAATGAAAACAACAACAACAACAACATGAATTAGGTAAAACTCAAGAGCACTTAACAACTATTAAGTCACCTATTGGTAGTCCTTCTGTCATAGAACCACTAAGAAACCAAGACACAAGTTAAAATGTCTCTGACATTAAGCCCGATGTGATGCAGGCTTTTGTCACTTTGTCTGACAACGTCACCTTCATTATAAGTTTATGGGAAGAACAACTGTGCTGCACAAACTTAGGAAAAAAAGAACCTTTGTCTTTTGGGGGAAAAAAACAACATCCTGGCTGCAACATCCCTCTCCTATGTTGTCATTCCTGTCAAAACACTCTGTAACTTAATCAGTTTTGACTTACAGCAACCCTACAGGACAGAATAGGATCACCCACAGGGTTTTATAGATTGCAAATCTTTATGGAAGCAGACTACCTCAATTTTTTTCCCCAAGAAGAGGATGGCAGGTTTAAAGGGAGAAATCTTTTGATTAGCTGCTGAATCCTTTAACCCCTGCACTCTGACTCCTTTTTATTGCTGTTACCTGTCATCAAGCAGCCTCTCATATATGGTGACTTCATCTACAAGGGGCTCCAGCTGTTTTGTCGTATGCTTTTCATGGGCTGACTTTGGAAACTCTAGGGGCCTGATAGGTAAAGAGTTAAGCTGCCAACCCAAAAGCAGGCTGTTAAAATTCACTAGCTGCTGCAATGGAGAAAGAGAAGCAATCTGACTTGACAGCAATGTGTTGAGTTGTTGAGCTGTCCTGAAGATTTATTAGGTATAGAGGAAGGGGGGGCATTTACGTGTTAGGTCCTAACTTAAATGACTTAAGGATAAGGTTCTGATGTTTGTATCTGCACCCTCTCTGGGGAAGAATCCTCATTGGGAGCGTTATTTACATTACGAGGCAAATCACTGTTGATCGTGGGGGCGCTTCCATGTGTATTGTAGGATATTGAACAGTACCTCAGTCTCCACCCACTCCATGCCATAGCATCCTTTCTCCAGTTGTCACAATAAAACACACATCTGGTTAGTGGTGATGGTTGTATAAAGATGTATGATGGACATAGTCAAGATCATTGAATTGCATGAGTGAAAAAAAATGTTGAAATGACAAAAGTCTTGTTATTTATTTAGTTGTTGTCTACTTTGGTACCAACTTCTAAATGATGGAGATCCCATGAAGAAAGTAACAAAATGCTAACCAGTCCCTACCATCCCCATGATCGCTTGGGGATCCAAGCTTCTGAGGTCCACAAAGTCTCCACTGCCTGTTTTGTACTTGTCAAACTCCAGACTTCTTTTCCTGGCCCATACTAGTCTGGAAGTGCCACTGAAAACTGTTTAATATCACAGAACACATAAGACACTACGGACAGAAGGAAAATGGTGGCTTCGTGGGAGACAGACTAGCCAGAAAACAATCTGGGTTTCCTGCATGTAAGGTGAGCCTTCTACCTACCACTGAGCCATCAATGACATCACTTAAGACTCATCTCTCTGAGCTTCAATTTTCTCATCCCTACAATTGAATCCTAATTCTTATCCATACAGTTGGCCAGTGAGAAAATAATTAATGAATTATGTAGGTAGTTTATGAAGAACAAATGCTCTCTACCTTCACAGCCAGAGTCCCCAGACACGAAGCCAGTCTTGCACTGACAGCTGTAGCTCCCTATGGAATTGATACAGTGAGAATTCTCAGGGCAGACGTGGCTGTTGAGGCATTCGTCGATGTCTGAGGAACAGAGGAAAGGGAGCAGACAGGTGACCAGGAGTCCAAGACCAGAAACACGTTTCTAACCGGTGGAAAATGTCCATCTAAGACCCCAAGCCAGAGAGTATTACCTGCACAGATGAAGTTGTTAGACTTTGAAGAGATGAAGTGCCCTCTCTTGTGGGAAGAAAACCCATGTAAACAGCTGCACTTGTATCTCCCCTTCAGGTTGGTGCAGATTGAGTAGGAACCACAGATTGGGGGCGTCAGTAAGCATTCATTTATATCTAGACACAGAAAGAGTCATTAATACAGAGAAGTGCATTTTACAAAGACACGTGAAATGGGACTTCCTATGCTAAGATTTTGGCAGACAGTGTTTGCTGGAGCTTCCCGATTAAAACAAGCCTGGAAGCAGGAGTGGCATCCAATTCTGAAATGGCTTGCCTCTGGAAACAATATGACCAGTGCTCAGGCCTCTCATTGATAGGGTACTATGAGTCGTTTACGACTCAACGGCACCTAACAACAATAACAACGACAACATAGAGAAAGCTATGTTGGCCTAGAGGAGTGGAGAGAAAGTTATGCTACCAAGGTGGGTGATTTTAATCTGCGGCCCTCCGGCCTGATTCAAATTGTTTTTCTGTCAAACATTCTTCTAGGTGGTATAGCACTGGTCTGTGCATTGCTGTGCAGAGGTAACTCGTGGTTGCTGTGATGTTAAACACTGTGACACTGATGTGCCAAATGTGATAATTGTTACCCATGGTGGACAGTGTTTGCTGGAGCTCCCCAATTAAAACAAGCATGGAAGCAGGAGTGACACCCACTTCCGAAATGGCTAGCCTCCGGAAACTCTATGAACAGAGTTCAGGTCTTTGATTCATAGGGTCGCTATGAGTCATCTATGACTCAACGACACCTAACAACAACAACAACATCCTAGTAATGAAAAAGACTGTCTTCTCTCTGAGACTTATAAGTTCCTGTGGTGAAAGTTATTGTACTCCAAATCAAATCCATGCCATTGTGTAGACTTTAACTCAAGGAGAACCTCATGAGTGTGAGAGTAGTTTATCAGTGCCTCATAGAGTTTGTAGTGGCCCACTTTTTGGGTGAGGATGATACAGGATAGGCAAACTTCATAGAGTTGCTGTGAGTTGGAGTTGACACAACAGCACATCAAAACACCGACATCAAAGCAAAATAAGGACTTAGTTCTGAACAATAACTTAACACATAAACTCCATTTTAAGTTTTATCTAAATGCTGTTTGTATTCATTGAAATACTTTACAGCGACCATTGATCAAATTACTGATAATAAAAGAGCATAATTAAGTGTGGTCTATAAATTCTGTGGGATGTTACTCATCCATAAAGAACAATGATAACCTACTCTTTGTAAGAACATGCATGACCATCATGCTGAGTAAAAACATCATATTGTGTGAAAGAAGTCATACATGAGAGGACAAAAATTATTTTTTAAAAAGGTTATTATATAGAAAAGAAATATTATTGGTGATTACCAGGAGTGGGAGGAACACTATTTTTTGTCTGAGGACATTAAAATTAATAAAATAAAAATTTTTTAAAAGTACTATGGGAGGAGTGGCACACACTTCCTGAACAACATGCCTCTGGAAATGCTATAAACTTCGATAAATGTTGATCGTTATAGAAATGCTTCAGGCCTTTTGTTCATATTGTTACTATGATTCATGATCAGCTCAAAGAAAATCAACAACAACATAGCTTAGATCAGGTACACCTAAATGTTTAAACTGATACCTTGCTATTTGGCACTTTGGAGAATTCCTTGTCAGCAGATTTTCCCAATGTAACCAACATATCTTTTGAATTATTAACTGCTGCTCTGTGAGTATTGATCGTGGATGCACACAAAATGAAATTGTTGACAATGCCAGTCTTTTCTTCATCTGTCATGACATTGCTTATTCGTCCAGTGGTGAAGATGTTTCACTTCTTTTTTTTAAAAATTTTATTAATTTTTATGAACATTCACAGAGATTTTGGATTTCCATTCATTCATTGTTGCACTATTTTCTCTACCCCGCCCCCAGTTTGTTCCTTTTTTCCTCCCCTTGAAAGTCTGTTTTAATTGTCCCATTGCCACAGTGCTTGTCAAAACCAGTTCTGATTAATCTCCTTTATCACTGTGTCCTTTGCCATTCTCTATCACTTCTCCCTGAGAAAGATTTCACACTGATTCATAAGGAAAAGTGGACGGCATATTCTCTTAGCTACTTCCTGCTGAAAAGGGACACTGTAGGTTTCAGGGTGAAGATCTTCTCTCACTACTCTAAAGGGCCTCTTTGGCAATAGGAAACGCGTAGACAATTGTGCACATTGATTTTGGAATTTAGATGCACTGTTATCAATTGTGCTTAGCCATATATGTTTATATCCTTGAAGGTGTATCATGGAACTGTTGCAGCCCAGAAGACACAAATTTAACTAAAAAGTTAAAAGTACATGAGTCAAAAATTAAAAAGCAATAATATTCCAAATAGAGGTTCTAACAGTGGCACAAATCAAGTTACAGAGGGAAGGTAGTTCTTAAAATAAAAGGTCTATTGACTAGCACTTTGTCTATTGTAGTATAAAGGTTAGGAACCACAAGATGTAGAGGCTCAACTATGCCATTTATTGTTCTTAAGTCCTGGACCAAATTCCATCTACTACTGGCTTGTTTTACAGCTCAGAAGTCCGCATGCAAGGCAGAGGTGAAGTAAGGAACTGCTTATGAAGTTTTCCATCAATTCCAACAACTAAGAAATAGTGGGAAGAGTTGGGACCTCAGAAGGCTTTTAGGACCAAATAACAGGCTCTTGTGTCCAGGAGAAAATGAACATACTTACCAGTGATGTTAATGCTCACCAGCGGCTCTTCTGGGAGGATGTAAATCATTGAAGCGTCCTCCTTTGTTTCCAACTGGGAGCTGGGGCCT